GAACTTCGGCATCTATGTCGTTTTCTGACACAAGTCAAACCTTCCAGCATGATCCAATCACATAGATGATTGTCACCATTCTTTTAATTAGAACTGTACTTGCCAATAATGTTAACAAACTTTTAAATCTCTTGAATAGAGGCTATTGAAAATATAAAAATGCGCGTTTTGTATTTCTTATGTTGACTATAACACAAGTTTAACTGCTTATAATAATGAGTGCATTAGAGATATAGAAATGACGTTCGTTGTGTGTGTGAGCTATTGACCAGATATAGACTTTTTCTTGCGTGAACAACAATTCATAACAATTTTCTATGGGGATTGTTATTTGTTAATATGGTAAATGTTCGTTTTGTTTCTTCCAGGAGTGGTTAATATATAAGTACTGTATATCAATAGATGAAGGTTAGGATAAGAAAAGCGTTCTTATAACTTCGTATGAACATTTTAGCATACAATGGAATGCAAGCCATGTGTGTTACAATATTTCTTTTCCCGATTAAGTGTGAACACATCAATGGCCAGTTTAACGTAAGCACAGATCGTCTTCATACAAAACATCAATTTTTGTGATGTAAATATAATAACCCATAAGTCACACCTGTGTAATAGAAAGTCGCAGCTTGTAACCTCATATTCGGGATTGAGAAGCTGGATAAACCGACAGGGTTTTACTGCCACACTTGAGTGCTAACACGCTTTGTGTAATTGTCAGTCCTCAGAATAGATATGCGTCATTTTCACCTAACATGTAATTGGCACCATGTCCTAATGACGGGTGTATTTCCTGGCGGTAAAGCTAGAGCGACGACCGTGTTATTTTCAATCCACGTCTTACCAAGAGCTAAAAGTTTTCAATAAACCTGCTTCAACAGAGTCGAGTATATAAATATTTTTTATTGTAAGAAAAGAGTAAAGGCTAAGAAATTAATTTGAGACGCTTATTTATGACGTATAGAGATACGACTTAAGATTTATCAAAAGTTATTTTGATAATCAAATATAACTATTTAGCTAAAATTATCATTTCGTATTAATTATATTATTGGTCAATATGTTTCAAACCTTTACTATGTCAGCATGTTGTTTAACTAATAAATTTTGTACATAGTCTACTCATGTATATTTAACGCTGAGAAGAGTCTGTAAAGTTTAAATGAAGAGATAAACACTTGATAGATAATAATAATCTTGGAGATGTTAAGAAAGAATTGGAATTGTATTTTCTATAAGCCAACCATAAAAGATTACAAATATCGAACACACACCAATCACCAATAGTAAGCAAACAACGCTTTTCAACATATATGTAGATTCTTTATCGTTAGATAAGCTTCGTTATACCATTTCTGAAAAATGTAGTTGTGGTATTAAGAATCCAATTGCGTGCAGCTGTTTTAAGTACAGGAGTTATATGGAAGTGGCTTCGAGAAGACGCTCTTGAAATAACAAAAACAAAGAGGGGGGTTACAGGGTATTAGGCCAAGATCATGTTTGGGATGGAGAAGGAGAGTCGTCCAAATTTCTCAGTTGCAGCCGTTACACAACTAGCTGCCATTATCTCTCGCCTTCCAGCAAAATATCTTTTTAGCAGAGTAATAACACTGACATAGTAAAACGATTACTCGTGAATGCAAAACATATATTCATACCAAGTTTATGGGAAAGAATATCCTGTTCCTTTCTGAACAACCTTTGTATATATATATATTCGAGTATGGTTATCGAGTTTCTTCTGTCATCGCGGTTTAAAACAAATTTAAAACTGTCTTTCTAATAACTATATTTCAGTGTACCCATTTAGCCATAACATGACAGCATGAAATGTTTTTTTACTTGGATGGTTGCCTTAACATACATTTAACATGGAACGAACTGTTTTGTTTTTTGGTTTTTATGTGAAGGGTCCCAAAATTAACAGATAACGGGAAGTAGAGTTGCAACGTCAAAATATCACATTATTTTATACAAAATCCACTATTCGAAAGCGTTCGATCTCAGTTTTTACTATTTCTAAGCGTTTTTAGCGACCCACTTTGCTTTTTTTTTAAATGGGTGAAATTATTCTTGTGAAGGACTTTTGAAAAGATTGTCATATCTTGTTTTCTCTTATAAATATATATATATTCTTTCAAGATTTTGTTATCCAGGGACTTACACTCACGTCTCCATGGCTTATATGACGATTGTAGCTTGATCATATCATACAATTGAGACACTTTTCTTGGCTTTCCATTAAATTTTTAAATATTCGCTATGGGAACCAGTGTATCCACAGAGAGGAATCGAACCCCCTGATTGTAACGTTATAAATCCGTAGACTTAACGCTGTCCCACCGGGGGACTTGGGAAGCAATATTTCTAACATGTATTTCTGGTAAACGTTTTTAGTAACATTGCAAATTTGAGGATTTTCTTTCAAGTTCGCTTAATTCAAGCATATTTATCTGGTTTCAAATTACTCTGAGTTTTGTTAAATAGCATGGTTTATCCAAATAGATATTAAATATGGAATATAACTGAGGAAAACCCAACGTTCTTTTGTAAAATCAGTTACTTCTAATTTTCATTTTCGTAAAATTGTTTGTGACGTGATAAGGAGCTGTTGCTTTATACAATATATATATATATATATATTCCATCAAAAGGCTCATTATAGTATAACAGTGAGAGCGGATTGTTATTATTTACATAAAATGAAGAAAAATCCAGCATTTATTCTTGGCTATTGATATCTATATAAAACGAAGAAAACTATGAAAATGTTCACTCTTGTTATCCTTGATATTTGTTTACAATATTAGCGGTAAGAACGGATTGTTGGTATCTATATAAAACCAGGGGAAAAAATTCAACATTAATTATATTTCATATTCAGCGAATCTGCACAACTTATTCTATATGAAATCTTTTGTTCACATGTTAAATCTATGTAAATAAAGAACACTGACGGATGCAAAACGTCGAGATGTTTTATTTGGTTTTCAATCTTGTTTTGATGACAATGGTTTAAAGGCATAATAGTCCTGTGTTTTATTGTAAAGGTACACATAATAGTTTGTTTTGTTTTCGGATGTTCGCGCAAAGCAACTCAAGAACTATTTGAATTAGTCGTTCCTATTTTTGAACTGATAGACTAAAGGGAAGGAAGCTAATGTACAACACCTACAGCCAATTCTTGGAATACAGTTGTTTTACTTTATAACTGATAGACCAGAGGGAAGGAAGCTAATCTACAACACCTACAGCCAACTCTTGGGATACACTTGTCATACTTTTAAACTGACAGACTAGAGGAAAGGAAGCTAATCTACAACACCTACAGCCAACTCTTGGGATACACTTGTCATACTTTTGAACTGACAGACTAGAGGACAGGAAGCAAATCTACAACACCTACAGCCAACCCTTGGGACACACTTGTCTGACCAGAAAGTGGGATTTGACCGTTATCCTCATAACGCACCCACGGTCTCAAAATTTGTTGTTGTTGTTTTTTTATTCGGTAATGGGATACAAGCGATGGAATCACAGATTCATAGTCTGGCACGCTCTGACCACTCAACAACGCTCGGTTCATATAAAATAGCAAATAAATAAGTAAATAAACGAACTTTCTTAAAATTCCATTGTTTACTTAACCACTGGAGTCCAACAAACATTTTTAAAATTGCATGAATGAAACTATAACAAAGTCTTTCAAACGACATTATTAATCTTTGCATCAATATATGTCCCTGCAAAACTAACCTCATTTGTTTGTTTGTTGTTATTTAGTATAAGGCGAGTCAAAATGAGTAAAATATTTTATGTTTGGGAACAATCTTGTTAATATTATAGAACAATGTTTTGGTTCTGGCGTCATTTTATTCCAGATCGTTCTCTTATTTTCTGCGTTATCCTTTTGAAGAAAAAAACAAAAGAAAAAGAACTTACACTATTTTGCAACAATGACATCATTTTATCCATAATTGAAATTTATTATTCCTCGTCTGCTTACTTTTATTTGAAATTTATTTCCTAAAATCTGTTCTTTTTTTGTTTTTAAGAATGTATTTATCGCTTCTCATCTACCTGTCTATGCTTATATAATTAAAATAGTTAAATACATTTATAAAATATCGATAAGCAACAGATATAAAGTGTTTAAGTAAATGAATCAATTTTATCATAGCCTTAATACTATGTGTATGCGATATATTGCATTGAACTTTGTGCACTCATGAGTCTGGCATGAAGCTGTTATAACAAAAGTGGATGAATGCAAAACGATTAAATACATAGCCCAGGAAGGGACATGTAAGAGAAAAATATTATGCCGCGCGCACTACTTATTTATCCCCTGCTCTCGAGATAATAATCTGTGCGCTCAATATAATATCTTGTGAGCACGAGATAAAGTTATATAATAAGTCTTGAGCAAGAGATAGAAATAATAAGTCGTCAGCACAGGATAATAAATAGTGCGCACGACATAATTCAGTTATTTTCCTCTTCATGTCCCTTCCCAGGTTCCGTATCATAATTTAAGTTTTAGGATACTTTTTTTGCATCGAATATCTCTAAGCGCAGTTGTAAGTTTAACTACGAAAAAAGTAAGCCATTCTCTGATAAAATTGTGTACCTAACTATGAACACACATTCACTAGCGACGAAACTATATTTATTATTGTTTGTTTTTTAATCAAACCATTCGCAAAAACATCCACGTCTCAAAATAACAATGACATACGTATATATTAATTTTAAACCAAAGCTTTCGAACTAGCCTTATTACCATTTTAATTGAAGTTTATGTCGTTATAGCATTTCTTGTTTTTTTTATTATTCTTTTTAGAGATAGTTTAATGTGCGTGAACCTTAACGTTGGTAGTACGTAGCTTTCCTAAAAAATTTTTGCACGGACTATACTTTGAAAATTAACAAAACAAAAACGTATCAGCCATTATACTTTCAATTGCAGTAAATTACGATCGTTTTATGTATCTAAGTCTTACCTGTATTACTCGCATGTTCAGTCCTGTTTCCTGAGCCAGCTGCTCTCGGATATGACGTGTAGGTTTAGGCGTAGCTGCAAAAGCAGCTTTTAAAGTTTCCAGCTGTTTCGCTTTAATAGTCGTGCGAGGACCACGTCGTTTGCTTCCTGGTGTGTTTTCATCATTCTGCTGCGATCCGTTATTTTGTAAAGTGGAGTTAGTATTGCTATTTGGGCTGCTCTCACTTCCACTTGTGGTTTTATTGTCATTGTGGTTATTATTATTATTGACACATGTCTTTGATTTGCTAAGACAGTCGGAGATGGAACTGTTGTTACTCCCCAGTGACCCAGAAAATTCATTGGCCGAAGTGTTATTGAGTAGTGTTCCTGTGCCATGGGAAAGAGAATTTACATTAAACAGTCCATTCGTCTTCCGCTCCAAACTGGAATCTCGTTCGATCTCGTGATTGACGATATGATCAGGGTCAGTATGACTGTCATTTGTTTCACCGAGCTCCGTCTGGCTTGGTGGCGATCCAGCAGTCAAAACTATAATCCATGTGTGAAAAATACAAACATATTTACATTTGTCATTCAGAAGAGTAAAAAGAAAAGCATAATCATCTTACTGAAAAGTTTGACATGATTTTAATCATATAGTTCAAGAGTATTCCAGATAATTTAATGGATAAATAATGGAAACGTCATCTTTCTTTCCACATGAAGTACATCAAAAGATATGCACTTCTTTCACAAAGCAAGAGCTTATTAGTACCACGAGTATCTTAATTAATACCTTTTCTACCAAAGGATCTTTACAAAGAGGGGAGTAACTCAGTGGTTATTGTATATAGTTCATGAAAGACTTGTCGCAATTGGCCAAAACACGCACAACATTAATTAAGCAATGTAATACAAAGGAAAGAATGAAACAAATGCATTAATATTTCACGACGTTGTTGAAACATAAGCAGAATGGAAACTTGGCCCCTAATCACTTGAAAATAATTACCAATGAAAGTTAGTTAGGTCCTCGGTGACTCAGTAGTAAATCAGAAGGCTTATAACACCTAAAATTGGGTTTTGATACCAGCGGTAGACAGAGCACAGATACTCCATTATTTAATTTTGTGCTGAACACTAAATAAGGCATTTAGACATCGCGAAATCTCATCAAGTTGACAGCTGCAACCGTTATAATGTTTGTGAACATTAAATATGTGAATAAAAATGTAACTTAGTGTGGTCAGATATTTCAGAAACTATTCTTATCATGAGATAAAACTATAGAGTACGCAGTAAGATCCTTATTTCATTTACAAAGTGTGAAATGAATACAAATGTGTTAATATAAAATAAAGCATCAATAGCGAAAAAAAAATACAAAAAGAAAATCCACACAGAAAAGGCAAATATACTATAATTCTTTGATGAGAGGTTATTCTATTACTTTTAGGCAAAAGCAAATGTTTACATTCGCGTGATTTTAATCTAAACTACTCATTGCGATGTGTTTACATAAAATCCTAATCAACATAACCTTCAAAAGATAAATTGCTAATTGAACGACAAGTCTGGGCTTGTAACGCTAAAAATTGGGTTTGATGCTCCGGTGCATAGAAAATAGATATCCTGTTGTGTAGCTATGAGCTTAATAACAAATAAACGAAAGTTAATTGAAAGCTGTTGATGGTTGCTGCAGTTTGTATTAGAACATTTTATGTCTGAAAACCGTGACTGGCTTCATTTTTACTAGAAATATTTTATTCTAAGAACCCATGATTGAAAGCAGAGAAGAATAAGTTATAAGAGTGAAAGCAAAGGGAAATATATTTCAATATGTCAACCATATTACATCTGCCATATCCACTGCCAATGAAACATTTCCCCAGTGGCATAGCTACAAAAGATACACCCCCCCCCCTGCATGAAAAGTAAATGAGCCCTTTACATTTTACATTTATTTCACTATAATGTCAGTTATGATAGTGGCTGATTCGGGGCCCTTTTGGCTCGCCCCCCTCCCGCAATTGCGGGGGCTGTGAGTGCATACTTACGCTACTGTCTTTCACCCAGTACCAAAGATGATAAGGCCAGCTTCGATTTGACTAGATAGCCTGAGATCTAGGTGCTATATATATATATCAACAATTTTCATGAGCAACAACTGTTATGATGTGCCCCAGATTAATTAAATATATATAAGTTTGTTTATTTGTTCGCCATAGGAAACCAAAAGGTTGAACTTACAAATTTTAAAATAACTTCATAATAACCAGTTTTTTACAAGAAATTTAATGGTGTATTTATCTTGTATTTGGTGTAGTATTTAATGACGAAATTGACAATTAATGATTAATGCGCCATTTTTTTGTAATAAACATACAAACATATGCACGTTTTGCACATAGGAAGCATTGTGGCGGGAGACACTCAGATCATATTGCTGTCAATTCAGTATTTCCAAAAACAGTTTCTTTAAATAGTGCTAACTGGTTTCATAAGTGATTTAGTAACTTTGTGAATTGCAAATTATTGTTTAGTGATACAGGTGATTATACCACCCAAGAAACGCCCTTTCTATGGAAAGTCTTCTGCCGCTAAAAGAATGCAAGCACAAAGAGCAGCTGAAACAGAAGAAGAACGCAATCAAAGACTTCAAGCAAAAGCTGCAAGAGAGGCTGCTCAAATACAGGAAGAGACTTTGGAACAACGTAAAGTTAGACTTCGAGCTCAAGCTAAAAGGTAGGCTACTCAAAGACAGCAAGAAACTGTTGAACAGCACAAAGCCAGAGTTCATTCAGAATCGTCAAGGCAAGCTGGATATAGACAACAAGAAACTTCTGAACAACGTCCAACCAGACTTCAAGCACAAAAATTAAGACAGATAACTTACAGAGGGCAAGAAACAGAGGAGCAACATGATGTACGACTTCAGGCTCCAAGAACAAGACAAGCTCAAATACGATCTTATTTCAAATAAAGCTTTGTTTCATTAAATGCTTTTTTATTTCTCGCATCACAGATTTTGTCTACTTACTGAATAATTTGCTGAAAAAAATACTGATCTATACATTTCAAATCCAAATTTTCACCGTGCAACGCCGGGTAACTCAGCTAGTATATATATATATATCAACAATTTTCATGAGCAACAACTGTTATGATGTGAACCAGATTAATTAAGCAAATGAATTACAATAATTATCAATTTTATTTAAGTAATTTATAAATCAGATTTTTTGGGTAAGAATTAAAAAGACAGTTTTATTTATTTCATGTTTTTAACACTGTTTATTTATTTATTCTTTAGTTATTATTATTATTTGAGTAAACATAATCATCATTCACAACAACTGCCGAACCAGTAAACTAGTCTTCTTGTTCCCGGAGTGGGTCAAACAACCATAGCACCAACGGAAGAAAACTATACCAATAATTCTAATGAGTAAAAGCAAAAGAAAAAAAAATGTACGATTATAAATAATGATTATTCGGTTTGGCATCTTTTTTTCTCAGTAAGCCAACGGTAAGTTTGCAGACACTTACATACTAAATTCATATGGTTCGATTCGCCCTGGTAGACAGAGCGCAGATAGGCTGTTATGTAGCTTTGCGCTAAAATAAAAAATGGTTGTTTGTCCTCTGGTGACAAATATAAAATTGGTTTGATACGGATTTCCAGAAAATACTTTGATGGAAAATTTCAAAGTTTACTGGACCAATAAAATGTAACTGTTTTGCGAAGGTTGCTTTTATGTATGTATAATTGTTCTGCTGGATATAGGTGTTTTTTCTATCAATTACAAAAGCCGTGACGTGAGTGCTTGTATACAGAAATAAAAGTGCTTTTGTAGCATTTTTGTTACGTTTAATTGTGATATATGCAGCTATACACAGTATTTTATATTATGATATTTGTTCTGTTTCATTACCAATAAAATACAAAATGATAATTAATGTTGAATTCCTGAAATACTTGATATCAACTGGAAGAACCTAAAAATATGTGTGATGTGTTTTTGTTATACCATGCTCCCAACACAGAGCAACTCTACATAAGATGGTGATTAGGGTTAGAGTGGATGCCACCTTGGCAATTGAACTTTAAGGTAATTTTCAGTTCTTTGCTTGACTGGGTTTTAGTTAGATAGATAAATGACCGCATAATCCTTACTAATGTTATTTTTTTATGTTCGAATAAGTAGTAAAATATATTTAATGTAACTATTTACATGCAACAAAAATTAGCAGGGAAGATGCTAGTTGCATGTTAGTTTGACTATTGATTCTAAAGTAGTATTACTTTTTCATTGAAACCACTAAATTTATCTTACCTTTTTCATTAACATTACTTTGAATCGCGGATTTTCAGCTGGTAATATATAGCTTTATCATTAGCATTCTTATTGCATAGCATTGGGCATAATAAGCTGTGCCATTCTTTAGCTTAATATTGCGGTGTGCTGGTCATGTATCAATGAGCACACTTGTGTGGAAGCACATATAACATCAGTCATGTTTGAACTTGTAGACCTCATGTGATGTTATTTAAACATCCACTTTGATAAGGATTTTGTGTAACATATCGTTATTGCAAGAACTAATTAGTAGTAACCTGTAACTCACATATAAGAATAGTGACGTCATTAAAGGTCTATTATGAATGTTTAATGACATCATCATTGTTATATGTGGGTTTTGGAAATTTATTCATTCAATCTTGAATACAAAAAAGTTCTAAAAATATAAATATTTAACTGCTCATAGAAAATAATAAACGAAATCCAATATATTTACTTGTTATAAAACATTATTTCATTAATGCTGAAAAATGACAATTGCTTTTAACGGCATTGATTTATTTATTAACTACATAATACCAATTTAATCCGAATATTGTTATCCTTGCTGAATGTAAATAGTTATGTGCATTGTATTTTACTATTGTTTTAAACGTAAACATATGTATGCATTATGGACCATTTATCTATCAAACTTATGCTCAGTTAAGCAAAAAACCGATACAAGTGCAATATAAGCATACTCATTTAATTAGATCAACTGATGATCTAATTACAAATTAATTTATTCTCTAATAACGTATCTTTAATACTTACTTATTTATTAATTAATAGTCATTATTTTCTTCTTTTTTGCTAAGAAACTATGACTTATGCACAGTTGTTTCAGTATTACCCAGGTTTATCTCATTTGACATAACCGACCTTGAACATGATCTTAAAGATCAAATGGCAATACTGAATCCAATCTTACCCTAATCCCCATCCTATGTAGAGTTGGACTGTGATAGGTGTCTGCTTTTAACAAAAGTGTGCCATAAAAACTATTTCTATGCATCTTTCTTGCTGGTTGGCAGATCACCTACAATAAACTACTTAGGTCGTGATAGACAAAATAATGCTGAGAAGAAGAAAAAAATTACTTGTTTATTGGAAATGTTGTAGACCATTTGTTACGACATTGAGAAAGCCACACGATTAGGACATCTTTAGAACAGTCTAAGACTGAATGAAGAATCTTGCAAT